TAAATCATCCAACTCCCTACTTTTTATGCAAAGCAAGTCTTCGAATCTTTACAGTAGATGCTTTGCTATTTTAAAATATTCAAAATTTTCCTCTTGATTTATATGAATCAACTTCTTTTGTAGAAACTCAACATCATCTTCCACTTTATCACATATTATAAATTTAAAAGTGGCAATGGTATTGTCTTCAACTTTGCAAGAATAATGATTCAAAAACATATTACTTAATAAATCACAAAAATATTTTAAATTCAAAAGTAATTCTCTAAAAGTCTCTTTTTTATTCAATTAGAAGATAGCTTCTTTACATTGATTTATTTTTTTATTATTTTCTACGAATAAATAATATTTATTTAAAATATAAAATATAACTCATTCAATAAAAATCCAAACTCCAATTTGTCATTGATATAAATTAATAGGTGGTCAAAAATCTTTGTAAAATTTTTAATTTTCTTACATAAATTAGCCCATTGATTTCTATTAGATAAGTTATTTTTTTCCAATAAAATCTCAAATGCTCTAATATAGAATTTAGATCTTTTTTAAGTATCTTCATAAATATCTTATATATTAAATATTTTATCATAATGTTCTATAATGCTTAAATTAAGAACAATATAAAACAAGTAAAATAAGTGCAATCAAGTTTAAAAGTAATTCATAGTTTGTTTACCAAGTTTATAATTAATAAAAAATAAATATTAATATTAAAAAATTATTTTTAAATGGATAATTTTATTATATATTTAATGATGCAAGAAAAAATTAAATTTAAATTACTATGAATATATTACAAAAAATTAAAAATAGAAAGTGAATAATTAAAAAGTTATGTAAAAATAATTTAGCTCAAGGATAATTTTCTTATAGATCAAGAATTCAAGTCTTAGCAAGGCTCACATATAGTATATATGGATTATTAATAGAATCCACAAGGGCTTAGTCTTATCTTCTAAATTCTATTCAAGGTACTACAACCATATAGAACTTGTGCACCTCCCTTTCTACAAGGACTAGACAAGCTGCTGGTCCTTCTATTTTCTACTAGTAAAACTCATAATTTTACATTTTTGACTTCATCACAATGTTTAAAAGTACCCAATTAGCCTAAGAACCTTCAACATCCTTCAAATCTTGTTCCATTTTTTCATAATGGCTCCCAAGGTGGTAAATTTTACTTTTATCAAAGTCTTAAAATCTTCTCTAAAAATTCCTAAAAAATTCTAAAAAATCTTATAATATTTTTATACTACTAATATCTACTTAAGACTATATTTTTTTACCTTGGTGATTTTTTATAATAATAAAATAAATTTTAATCTTCTAAAAATCCTATTTTCTATATAATTAATTAAAAAGACATGAAGTTTTTTTTCATACTTCTTCTAACTACTAACTAATTATTGATAGGATTTTTATAAGTAATACATGTAGATACGAGGCTAATAAAGATATTGGTCTCAATAACTAATCCTTAATACTTAATAATAAGTAAAAATACTAAATTAACTAAGATAATTATCTCCAAGACTTATTAAGACTCTATTTTTATAACTTTTTTTTTAATAAGACTTTTGTAACTTATAAATAAATTTTAAACTTTAATAAATACTTAAATAATCAAAAAAAATCTTTGAATTTAATATTTGCACAATTAAATAATTCAAAACTATTTTTTTAACCAATCCACCAATTAAGATGCATTGGTGGGATTCACAATGTGTCAAAGTCTTCAATGCACCAATTTCACGCCTCTAATAGGTGCAAATGTTTAAGAATAGTTGATATACAATCAAGCACTCTCTTTACTATTATCATAGGCTTATGAATCTAATACTTAATCCATTCAAATATTTTTTTAGTCCCTTACAACAAAACATTAAAAATAACCCAACAATCCAACAATCCAACAATCCACACATAACTTCTACTATTGTCTAACAACAAACATCAATAGCTTTGGAGAGAAAATCGCCCAAGTGGTAGGACAACACACATAAATTGAGAACCTAAGGGTCTAGTTAGCCGAGCATGTAAAGTCCCCTCAATCTAAACATGACCTTGTACTTTGGAACTCCAAAACCTCTTCATTGCATGTCTAATTAAAATACGGACAACCTTTAATTTTAACTTCATTGCAACCCCCTTTCAAGAAGTGGAGTAGACAGACTAATTCTCTTAAGTCTAGATAAAATCTTTTAAATAAAAAATTAACAAACAAACAAACAAACAAACAAACAAAAAATAAATTAAAATCATTTTTTTTAAATAAATAAAAACCTAGCACACCAAACAACCCATTTTATTCACCCTCACCGAGGCGCTCACTTTCTAAACCAAATCAATCCAATTTGCACAACATCCGCAAACAGAACAAGAAAATTCTCTCCTAATTTTTAAACTTGTTCCGTGAGAAAATCACCACAAGAAATTGTTGATCTGCAAGAAGAGACATACCCGAACGCTCTTTTAATCAACAAAGGCGCCCTGTATCACCAGTTGAGAGCGACTAGTAAACTCGAGCAAAGAGTGCTGTAGATTAGAAGTGAGTTTTGTGGAAGCGACGGGGGTATAGGACCAATCGTCATCCATAGCTGAGGCAACCACAGCAACGCAAGCCCACACCAAACCTCAGCCTACGCGCAGGTGAAAGCCGACAAAAAGCCCTTTCACCGGGCTCGGTGTGAACGGAGTCAAACTCAAATCTGGTGGCGGCCCGGAAAGCACGACACCATGCAGAGCGGTTCTGCTTGAGGGAGGTAGGGTCTAAGAACTTGATTGGAACAAGGCCCTAGTCATGGCCCTATCTTGGAATGCTCTTTCATTAGGTACTGTTCCCCTCATTCGTTCTCCATCGTTCTCCATCGTTCTCCACCTCGATGTCATTGCCATCCTTGCCATGTCATCTTTTTGTGTAATATACCTCATAATTAAGAATATTCAAACGATTATATTGATACTCGGTAGATACAAGCATCCTTGCATGTTTTTTTAAAACCAAGTGGGAAAAGATGTTGAGCATGGTTTCTATTTTATTTTATTTTTCATTGAAACTAGTGATGAATGAAAGAGCAAATTACTAAGCTTAATGTTTGATGATGGGTTTGTTGTGTGCAATATTTGTGGAAAAATAGGAATGTGATTTATAAGATCCATGCAAGAATCGATTGTAGCAAATACTTCAAATCTTCTTAACATTGGATGGATCATTGTGTGAAAAAAAAAACATAAAACATTAGAACACAAATACATAAAATGATGTGTATGCATACATAGTTTGATTTGAACATTTGTTATTTGATATTAAAAAAAGAGAGTATAGCATAAACATAATAATTCTTGTGTCTTTTGCAAAGTCTGTATCACTTTATGCTTGAATATATTTTCAGATTTATTTTTACAATTTTAGTTAAAATAATGGCAATAGCATATATTTATAATACTTTTAAACTAATTGAATGTTTAATACATAAAAAAAAAAAAAAAAAAAAAAAAAAAAAACTAGGTAAAATGTTTGATCTTGTGTATAATCTGTATTTTTTTTTATAAATATCTAATTTTGAAAACTACATCAAATATCCTCAACTAGTTTGGTTCAAATTATTTTCACTTCTCCCTATTAATTTATTTTTAATTCCTAAACTATACTTTTTTCTCATACAATACAATAATTGCTTGGATAAAGAATTGTTTGGTTTGCTTTATGATGTCATTTTAGTTGCTTTTAGTTGCATATTTTTATTTATTACGCCTTTAATTGCATTTTTCACAAAACCATACTTAACTTCTAATCAATATGATTGTTTCAACTGTATTTATTATTAACACTTTAATGAAAGTTTCATGTTATGAATTATACCAAGGCTGTTTAATGTTGGATTATTTAATAGAATTTGGAGTGGTACTAAAATTACTTTTTTTGCCAAATCAGTTTACATCTATCAGAAACTACAGTTTTATTTCCTTTTTCATAAATTAACAATATATTTTAGAGTTCTTATTGTATTTTAAATATTTCATTCTACACTATTTATCATAATCGAACTTATTAATAAGAATCTTTACATTTCAAAAGCATAAGTTTTTAAATTCAATATGACATCTTTTAACAAGTGATTCTTTTAAATCATTAAACTTATTTCTAGTCAAATCCAATAGTGTTTGACAATCCACTTTATCTCCAATAATTTAACAATAGTATGGCATAATTATATACTGGTGGATAATGAAAAAGGATAAGAGAACAATATTAACTATAAAATTATTTTTCTACATTCAGCTCTTAGGGACGTTGAAATTTTAATTGCTTGTTTATTCTCTAAATGAAGAATTTGTACACAATTTGTTTTTCTAAAGTAAGCCAATTATAATATCTAGCAAATTATTGATTTTATTATTAGATTCCTATGCCCAATTGAATTGATTAGTCTAAAGTGATCTAAAAACATTCTTGTATTGCCAACTAACATTCTCCAATTAATTTTAAGACTTAATGTTAGGCAAAAATTTAAGACCTTTCTACAACCTTGACCACATTGCCTTCTTTGCATCGTATAGTCGATGTTGATTTGAACTACTGAATAATAAAATATCACAAATCATTGAATTTTTGATAGCATCTTGAATTGCAACGCCTAAGATTTCTCACAGTAATAAATAACTAAAGAATTGGATGGCAACCTTTACATGCTCCTTTTTTTAATTCTTCGCTTTTAGAATTTATAGCGGGTTTTAGTTCTTATTTTTTAAAGTTCACCGTTATCAATAAATAAAACAAACAATCCTTGACTTCATCAATAATTGTGTAAGGTCTGTATATAACTATGCTCTACAAAAGACATCAGTAATTAGCAAAAATACACTTTTAGTCAATGCATTGAGCTTCAGTAATGATCAATGCAATTATGCCATTTTTTGGATTTCAGCACCTTTCTTCTTATTACCTTATGGCAAAAGAGTTTTAAATTCATAATTACGATTCTTTTTACAGCTAATGATTTCACCAAAAGAATCATTTGTATCCGCAAATACAAATATATTTCACTTTTCCAGATACAAAAATAGATAACTTCCTAATGAGACACCATCTCTGAGTTGTAACAAGATACTATGACATTTTTTATGACGTAAGCTTGCAACAACTATTTAATGTCCGGCTAATGAGTTTTATTACACTATTTAATGTTTCGCAGGAGTCGGAGTTAAAACTCCAACGCGGCCTTCAACAACGTAATCCAACTCCGGACAAATGACTTCTAAACTTGTCATCGTCATGTAACGAGTTATGATGCGAATCCGGACACGAAAAAGAACGATTTAAAAAGAAATTGTGATATTACAACACCATGATGTGTAGGGCCACTCACCCATGCACCTACGCACGCGGCGGCGAATAAATCGACATCGCCATCGCCACCACCTAGAATAATGGCTTAGAGGCACCACACGATGACGGGGGCCAGCGAATTCATCACGGGTGAATCGAAGAATAGGGTCATTTCTATGAGCTTGTGAATTTACAAGTCGGACCTGCGAGTGGGAGTGGTAACATGCATTCGAAGCTACTCTACGTCGGCGACTGTACATGGAAAAAAAAACTTGGAAGAGCTCAATGGTGCGAGGGTCATCTGGGCGTTAAGCTTTGAACGTCCATGCCTCGCATGGGAGAATGCGCGGTGCGCAGCTCGTTCAATCGCTGTCTTTCTCCCGAAATTCGTGTCTGCACACGGCACAACGGCATCCCACACCCGACCAATATGAGACACGAGCACCGTTGGTTACAATTGCCATGCACATCGTTCACTGAGTTTTAGTGGGCATGACTAAGACGACTATGATGAGGCTTCATGGGGTAGCACCATACCTTGATCTTGAAGTCCTCGAATTCTTGAAGCGTGGATTCCAAGCGGTCTTTCATTTGCTCGACGATTTCCAGAGCCACCACTGGGTCAGTGTCAGCATCGGAGCCGGCCATTCCGGTGGCCCTAACGATGCTTGCACACAAGCTCGATAGCTTCTGGGCCTCTTTGTCTCGCTGTTCCTCGGTTTCTAGCAGCACGGTGCGCAGACGCTGCTCTTCTTCGATGTTTAGCGTAGATGGTTTGCCCTGCGAGGTGCGATACTTGGCTAATTCATCGCTGATACGCGTGTTGAGATGCTCGGCACGTCTGAGCTTTGCGTTCAGGTCATTATTCTGGATTCGAAGGGAATTGTTCTCCTCCTGATCACAAAATCAGATACGTTAGCATCAACATAAAGAAGCGACATTAACATGCACACGGGCGACGTCGTTGCTGGATTAGATCCATAAATTGGTGTCCATAAGACAATGTACCTTGATTTTTGCGTGGTGTTTTATCCGCTGCTGCAGGTTCTGCTGCCCTGAGAGAGTCTTGATCTCTTGTTCCAGCTGCCCAATCTTCTTCACGTGGTTTCGATTATCGCTTTTCAGCTTCTTGTTTTCTGCAAGGAGGGTCTTCTCTCGTTCTCGCAGATTTTCCAAAGATGCTTGAGCAGCATTCAGCTCGACCTGCTTTCGACTGATCATCTCCAACCAACTGCAGGAAATGTTCACTAATGAGCCACAGGAAGAAGATAAAGGTGATGAGAATACACAATGTGACATTGTGCATGAGTCATGAAGCTCAGGCACTAGAAACCATACCTTTCTCGCTCTTCAATGAAATCATTCAGCTGCGTGAGGATGTGCTCTATTTCCTCATCCTGCAAGAAGTCGATTCCGTGCGTCAGAAACATGTAAAACAGCTCAAAAACTGTGGAGAGCGCTTCTTCCTGTTGCAGAGATGAACATAAAAATGTTTAAAAAGGGAACCAACCGACCTTGTGGAGTGGTTGATTGTCATTCTTCGCTCCTTCTGCAACATGCTGCTCGTCCAAAAGTGTCTGGCGAAGGCAAGTTTTTGTCAATATCTTTTTATAAGCAATCAAAATTCATCAATAGTGCAGTCAGGAGGGTCCTCAACTCACGCACCGCAACGTTGGCCATGTCCAATTTGACACCACGTAGAACACGGAGGACGTCGCGAGTCATCCTCTCGGCATCTGCCAGCTTTTCGTGAAGCACCGTGACCTCGTTTTGGTGATTATCAAGCACATCCTCCAGCTCCTGGATGCGACGTTCGTAAGATTTCCTCTCCTCGTCAAGCTCCAAGTGGATCTGGTGGTTCATTTTCATACATGCAAATGGAGATACTGATCCTTTCTGAACTTTCTGCCCCTTCAGGATACGAGGCGGAGTCTGGGGTTCAATATGTTCTACTGGTTTGTTTTCTTCTAATTGCATTTGGAATTTCTCCAGCTTCTTCCGCAACAACTGCATCTCTGCCTCGCGTTCCTCCAGCATCCTATGAAGATTTCGAATCCAACATAATTGATGTTATTCCTTCTGAGTTACCATGACATTGTGCGAGCACGGCTTCACGATGAAAAAAATAAATTGCTAGAAGAGCGCAGAGGGGCAATTACCTTTCTGCATCTTCCCTACGTAGCTTGGTTTCTAGGAGTTCATCACCACTCCGAAGACTCGCTTCATGCAGGGCAGCGTGCATGATGGAAATTTGATTCTTAAGACCTTCGAGCTCACTTTCCATCTCTTGTCTCATCAAGCGTTGCCGCTCGCACTCTATTTTCAAAACGCCGACCTGAGACTCCAGTGTAGAAACTGTATTCTCCAGTTCCTGTACAGACTTCCCTAGAATCTCCACTTCAACCTCCTTCTCATCTGCTAGTGTCCTGTATAGCTCCGCCATCTGCTTACAAAAATATCCTTAGTAAGCAGCTGAACTAATCAAACCAAGGGGAGAAAGCCCCGAAACCAACCGACATGGCAGAAAAATTTCGGAGAATACCTTGCGAGCTTCGGTCGAAGCAGCACTCCTTTCATCGGCGAGAGCTTGGATCTCCTCGATCTGATCCATGAAGAGGTTTAGATCATCTTGGAGCTTGTCTCGGTCCGCTTTGAGCTCCTCCACCTTGGAATCGGTGGCACCTTTTGAGCATTGAAGTTGCTCCTCTAGATGAGCTTTAATACTTTCCAGTTCTTCTACCATGACTCGTAGGGTTTCGGCCTCTCGTTCAGCCAGTCCTGCTGAAAATTTCAGTCCTTCAACCTCCTTAGTGATTCGGACTACTTCATTTGTTTTCATGTTCAGATCTGCCTCTACAGCTTCGATCTGCAATCTCATTTGTCTTGATTCGGCTTGTTGAGCCATCATTTCCGCATTCAGCATCTCAACGACACTTTTGAGTTCAGCTCTCTCTTGCTCGAGTGTTTGCAATACATCTTTGTCCTCATGGGCTTTGCATCCAGCAATTCGCGCTCCGTCTTCAAATTTCTCCTGCTTCTGGAGCTGCTCGTAAAGCACAGCGAATGATACCGCTTGGCGCTGCATTTCATCTCGAAGCTCCTTCCTCTGGACTTCCAGCTCACTGATGTGAAGGGTGCTCTCCCGGAGCTGCTCCACTAGCGCAGCTACATCCTCGCATCGCCCGCGATTAGTGTCGTGAAGCTCCCTCTCAAGGTTATCTATGGTGGACTTTAAAGCTGTAGACTCTGCTTCTAAGTCCAGCAATTGTTGCTGCAACTCTGCGTTTTCCGTGTCGAGACTGAACACCATAGACTTCAGATACTCTTGCTCTTCCTTGAGCACGCTCAGCGTCATCTCTTTCTCTTCAATCAACTTACACGAAAAGGATCTCCTCAAAGGTGTTTGTCCGAGCTCTGCGTCCCTCATTACGTTCGGCTGAAACAAATCTTGTTTGAGAGGAGCATGGCCAAAATCTGCTGGCTGTTTAAAAGGAGTACGAGATCCTCCAAGGTCTGAAATGCTCTGCCGCAGGGACATGCTTCGGTCTGCACTTTGCCTAAGATGAATCACTTCGTTCAGAATATTCCTGATCGTCTCCTCTTTCTTTTGTAAGGCTTTCACGGTCGCCTGCTGATCAGTTTGTACGTTCCACGTCTCCTTAGAAATCTCGGCAACCTCTGCTTGGAGATTTTGAATAATCGCATCATTCTCAGCCAATATCACATTGGCTACCTTGTATTGTCCTTCGCTTCCCAAACCCTTCACTGAGAGCGTCGTCTCCATTGTCATTTCGTCCAGAGAAGTTTGCTGTATTTTCCGCAGATTCTTGAAGTCCCTCTTAAGATCCGTCTTTAGAAGCCTCATATCCACAACTATTGCACGAATCTCCTTCTCAAAATGGCTCATGGTTGTGTCAAGCTGCGCCTTCGTCATCGCCACGGTATCCAGCAACTCCAGAATCACTTTGTCCTTCATCTCTACCTCTACTGATTTCTGACTACATTCCTGCCTGGACTTCTCGTTCGCCTTCACCAGCATGTTCACCAACTTGTCGGCCTCGCTCAGCTGCCTCTGCCACTTATCTATCTTGGCAAACCTGGCAGGAAGTTTGAGTTTCTTCGTGGCCGCCTCTAACTCCGCCTCATATTTCTGACTTTGGAGCTCGGCCTTCTCCTTCATCCAAGATTGCTCGGCTTTCGTCTGCCGCTCTTCGGTCTGAAGTAGCAAAAAGGTCAATTTCTCCATTTCGACTTCAGATTGTTGGACTTGATCTTTGTACTTCTTAGTATCTCTCCTAGCAGTCTGAAGATTTTCTCTCAACGAATCCAGCTGACGACGTAGTTTCTTTTCCGTGTTTGTGGCCATGACTTCAATCTCCTTGCACTTCGTCGTTGCAGATGACAACTGCATCCGAAAGCTTAAGATTGCGTTGTCCTTCTCGTGGACCTTGGTGCGCAGCTTCGCATTCTCAGCCTTCACCTTCGCAACATCTTGCCGCAACTTTTCTGAAAGCTTATTATTATTGGGGCTGCCATCGCTCAACGATGTCCGGGAACGATTCTCGGGTAGCCTTCGCAGAGGACGATCGGAGCTCTTGACCACATCCATCTCCTGCTCACTTTCAGATGGCTCATCTAGAGCTTTCTGCATCTTAGAGATCATCTCAGAGAGAATCTTCACCTTGCCTTCTGAACCTGCCAGGAGAATTTGTGTCCTTGCAAGCTCAAGTTCGGCCTCCCCTGATGAGTGTTCCGTGCATGACTGCAATCCTAAAATCTTTGACGTCAAGTAGTCCCTCGCGCAAATCCAGCTCTCTTCTGAACGTCCAGCTTCGGTTATTGCAACTGAAATTTCCTGAATTTTATTACTCTCTTTCTCTAGAAGGTCCCCTACGTTAGTTAATTTTTTCAGCGCCACGGCCAACTCCTCTTCTTTCTGCCCGAGGAGTTGACTTGCACCTTCAGAATCCTTCTTGAGAAGCGAAATCTCTCTTTGCAATTGTATGGTCTCCTCGGTTAGCTGGTCCATAGCTTCGGTCATGTTCTCAAGCTTCTTTTCGAGCTGTACCATGCTTTCATTCCTCGAGAGGCATCTAAGTCCTATGGCTTGAGCACTTTCAAATGCACCATTTTTCAAACTTTTTAACTTGGTTTGCAAGTTTGCAGTTGTATGGTCCTTATCCACCCAGTCTTGTTTTTGTGCCATCTGCTCCTTCAGCTTAACCATTTGCTCTTCTTTCATTTGCATCTACAGCAACTCAATCGACAATTTAAGTGGAATGAGCAAATACGCACAAATGAAACATAAATTGAAGTATTCAACTCTTCATCGTAGCTGGTGATAATGGCTATGGTCCACACTGACCTGTTTTTGCAAATCATCGGTAAGTACACGAGCAGCTTCTACATGCTTCTTGAACTCTTCCTCGAGCTTCATCTTCTCAGCTTGAAGAGAAAGCTCACGGGTTTCGGCATCCTCGGTTCGTTCCTTGAGGCTCTGGACATGTTCTAGAGTTGCCTCAAGTTCCTTCTTTACAGAGACATACCGCTGCTCGACTTCAGCAGCCGCTGCAACCAAAGTCTGCCTCTCCAAATTGAAATGCTCCCTCGCAATAGAAAGAGCCTCCTGCATCTTGGCCATTTCTCCTCCCTCTTTCTCTACTTGCTGCAACTGGTCCTCGATCTTGTCAACAGTTTTACTGCTTTTCTGAGTATCCACTTTGAATGGTTCCTTTTCAAGCTTGGCTTCAGCCTCTTCCAGTTTCTGCTGTAAGAGTTCAGAAGCAGCCCTCGACTCTGCCAGGTTTTGGCGCTCCTCAGCGAGAACGCCTTCTAGTGTTTCCAAGTCCAGCTGCAGCTGCATAATGGTCATCGTGTGCTTCACCTCAACTTCCTCGTCATGCGTGCCTGACTCCCATCTATATCCCTTAATAGGATCTGACCTACTTGGTGATCCCCCGTCTATGGACTCCAGCTCCATTTGCAACTGTATGATAGCATCGTGATGTCTCACCCTCTTCTTCCCCGTTATATTACAAGTCTCAGTGCTTGTGTTGCGTTTATGGTGAGCTTCACTAACAGATTCCCTCTTAGGGTTATTTGAGAGCTGCTTCTCTAATTCTCTTCCACGCTTGCGTTCATCTTCTAGCCTTTTATGCATTTCGATTATCTCGGATTGCAACTGCCCTATCATAAAAGCTTCATATGAAGCCTCAGAGTCTCCAATCTCCAGCACTGGTTCACTCTTCTGTAAGGTTGCCACAAGGGCTTCGACTTCCTCCAGTGAGTCTCGTGTCCACTGAATTTGCACGAAGAAGTCTACTGTGAGCCACTGGGTATGATCTGACAAAATGCTGTATTTGGATTCACAAAGACATTCAGGAAAAAATGAGGATTGCTTAATAGGGATTTCAATTCGGACACCTGAAGCTCCGTCTGCAAGTTCGTGGATTCCTGGAGGGCCTCTTGCAACTGAAGCTCCAGCTTGCTACGTCTGCTCGCTTCCTGCTCGGCCTTCTCTTCGCTCTAAGATTTGAAAACGTAAAAAACATGAGCATAATAGTCTTGGGATCATTAATCACATAATAATGGCTTCTCATCTGAAGAGTCCATTTTGTGAAACAGTAATTACCTTCTGAAGCGAAAATTACCTTCTGGAGCTGCGTCTTCAGCTCGAGCATGAACTGTTGATGCTGCGCTTGCTTCGACTCCAAACATTCAACCTCTTTCGTCTTTTCCTGTGGAGGATCAAGTCATTCAGTACAGCTCGGCACATGAATATGAATCCGTTGATTTCTTTAATATAATTACAAACAAGGTGAGCAATGGAGGCAAACTACATGACAGAGTTGATAAGGATATTATAAAAGTACCTGAAGGGTCCTAATCACTTGTTTCTGCCTCCTGCACTCATACTGTGAGCTCTCCAGCTCCTTTTTCGAAGCAGCCAATTCACTGCCAAGTGGTACAGTCAGCGACGATGAAGAAAAACCAGTAACCGCAATGCCAAGGCGACTTCTATACATAACCTGGGGTGGAGTCTGCGTACCTTGCGACTCTCTCGTTTGACTCCAAACTGGTCCGCAGCTTCATATGGTAATCTGCGAGATCTCGTTGGTAGGACTCAACCTCACTTCGAAGAAGCTCTGCTACTCGTCTTTCAGCAGCAAGTTCGGCAACGAGTGCCTCTTGCTGATATTGAGAAGACAATCCCTTTGTGAGTTGAATAAACACAACAGTAAAAGAACCCAGCAAATATTTAATTCCAAAGCCGAGAAAGCAACAACACAAGACTGAGAGGTATCCGCAAACCTGGGGTGTAACGACAGAGCCTGGAGCAGCTTTTCTGTCCAACATCTCCAGAAGCTGCAAATGTAAAGACAGATTTCGTCATAAGCTTTGTACAACTGGGAGACATGACCAGCACAACGAAATAAACAACTCGAAGTTATGGTTTCAACTATACTTTTTCTCTCAAGTCGGAGATGTCTTGCATCAAAGTTGCCCTCTCCTCAAATGCATCGTGTTTATCAGACCTGTCAAAGGAAGAGTTTCCATGGCAGGAAGGCCACCTGGGTATAATCAGTGGAGGAAGAGCGTTGTGCAAGAAACTGACATTGGAAGTATACTGCTAGATTTCTGGTAATGGAGACATTGATACTAGAGATTACGATGCGGTGCTTTTGTACCTTGGAAGTTGCTCTTGAAGGCTATGGTTCCCCACACCCAGCCCCCCGCGATCTGGATCGATGGACTGCTCAGTCCTAAGATTCAACTCCTGAAATGGGACACTTCTTTCCTCCACACCAGAGGTTTGAGAAGGAGCTTCCAGTCGACGAACCTTAAGCTCCCTTGATTGGAGTAACGACTTGTGAAAAACTATTTCGTCCTCTCGTTGCCTCACCTGTGATATAGGGTCAGGCTTAGACCCTGCTAAAACTTGGAAACAATCGAACAAGAAGCAGTCGAGGAACTCACCAAGCGTATCAGATGCTGAATTTCAGCCGTTGATGTCTTCGCTGCAAACTTTTCTCTTCGTAATGCGGCTGCTAAAAGACCTTCCAATCCCTTTATCTGTACACCCACAAACAATCAAAGTGATTAAAATTCCAACCCGGAGCACGTCAAATTCAACATTACAAACTTCAGTTCTATACATTAAAGGATGTTAAAAAGATATAACTACCTTTTGGTTCAAAGCTGTTGGTCCCAACACAGCTCTGCCAAACTGCAAGAAGGAGCCCTCAGTAGAGCTTCTCAGAGGATCGAAGAAGTCTTTCGACGCATCGACAGGGGTGTTATCTTCTGACGGACTCAAGCTCGGCATCCTTGATATGCTCTGTCTCCGGACACGAGCGAGCTCATCCTTGAGCTGTTGGATTTGCTCTTGCAATCCTTTCACGTCTCCAGTGGCTTCCTCGTTGATCACAGCCTGACCATCCAAGGCATTATATGTTAGTGGTGATGAGTTACTACCTACACATTGTTCCGAAGGGTGAACGCTAGATGTACAAACAACTCACATTGTTCTGAATGAATTTCGCCCGCTGTGCAAATTTGAGGGTGCTGAGAGTCTCCGATGAAGCACTGCCCTCAGAACAGAAGCAGAGAGTGAGTAGCCAATGTGAGAGTGGATTATACCTAAATGGAATGATAAAGTTAATTTCAACCGAAAACTGTACGTTGAGTACGGGTAATACCAGCTAGAAGGACTGATGTTGGCGATGATTGTTGTTTTTGAGTTGCCTCCAAGAGAATCCTGGTAACCATTCACGTATTCTCAGCATTCAAGTGACAGAAAACACACCCTCGAATGTGTGCAAAGCGTCGTGGTATTTTAATGAAGGATTAGATGGTTCACCTGAAGGAGGAAAGTAAGCTTTGAATCTCGATAGGGAACATGCCGCTGCTTCCCATTGGCAACGTCCACCAAGACCATAATGACAAGCCTTCACACACAGATCCAGGCCACTTATTAGACCATCTGCGAAAATAGGTGCCAGTTTAACTAAATTGGTGGTAGAGAACACTGCCGGATTGAGATGGAGCTTACCCCAGGGTTGACAAAGACTTGTTGATACTAGCTGCTTCTCGCAAACGCTCCCCATCTGCGCCAGTGGCTTTCTGTCTGCTCCAATGGGATATGACCATCACACCGATACCAAATCAGATTCTGCTTCCTTTGAAACTAGAAGGTCACCACAAATTCAAAATTGTGAGGTAATGCCCTAAACATGCCTTGTATTGAAAGAGGAACCTACGTACCGTTCTGAACCAGCCAAGTCGACGAGGTTGAGCCGTCCGAATCGGAAGTTGATCATGGCATCAGACTCCCACTACAACAGTGGCAAACCATACCTCCTCAATTCACAAACTACAATGACAACGAATTATAGGGTACAGGAAGCTAAGCAGAAACGGCCTCAATATTAAACAGCCATGTGTGCACCTGACTCTCGATTATGCAAGTGAAAACACAGTGAGACCGACTGCTCTCTCTGTTCATGGTAGTGGCAGCCACTTTCCTGTTAGTCGCACCCTACACCACGAATCACAAAGAAAATAGATTGAGATTTTTTCAAAGATTTTATCAAATCGGGGTTTTTCAGGGTAATGCACACAATTCCTTGCTTCTTGGATTTCAGTTTCGAGTTCTGTAGACGTACGAGTAGCAGGAGATGCAGCACATCTTGCACATTCTGCACTTCAACTTCCAATAAACCTTCGACGTACACCCCTTTGTTCATATCCTCACGCATCGGCAAGTTCGTTGAGGCGGGCTCGAGTAAGTCCGATATCTGCTCGTTGTAGATCTCCAAGAAAGAGCACCTGCATTTGTACTTCAACTCTTTGTGCTTCTGAGATTCTTCCTCCTGAACCATCGACGCCCATTCACAACTCTTCATCAGTCCTATGTCTTGCGGATCCAGGAAAGCTACAGGTGGGAAGAAAGAGTGAGAAGCACGTGTACCTTCTGAATCTTCGCGAACAGGTACTCAAAGACTCGTGGCGTCATGCCGCGATTCTCATTAGGTTGTTGATCAAAATGTTCCATGTCTCCAAGCATGGTATGCGTCTTGCCGCTGCCCGTCTGTACAAAATCAAAGCAGTGAAATCCTTGAAATCTACCCAAGAGAACGCAGCTGTTTAAAAATCTGTTTTGAAGCTCGCGTATATTTTTGCTAGTTTTTGCTTTCATCAACTCGGCATAGATGTGGTCGGGGTGAGACAGGAGTCTAACCTGGCCGTAAGCAAACATGCAACTGTTGTACCCTGCCATACAATTGTCTACCATTGGTAATCCCGCCACTCGAAACAGCTCCTCCTGAGTGACGAATTCACCTGCCACATGGTCGAAGGTGAATCTTGTCTCCGGTTGCCCTAGCCACGAAATTGTGTGTGCATTCTCTTGCTTCACGCACCTAGCAACCCCTTGCTGTGAAAGCTCGGCGCTACTTATTGGACGCGCCCGAATCAAAACCTGAACAGCGTTGTACCATCATTACCGAACTGCTTAAACGCATCACTCTCGTCATGCTAATCTCGATGATCCACTCTCTAAAACCTTTGAAACAAATTCAACGCCGGTCACAAAGACTGACCTGCACACTGTGATCCATCCAAAAAGTGGGATCCTCCTCCAGCTCGATCCGATCAGGCTCCTCGTCGTGCTGCAGGAGAGACTTCGGCAACCGAGTTCCAGGTGCAGCATTGGCACCAGCGAGGACACCTCCGTACCTCGTCGGCTTTCCAGCGCTTCGAGGAGTGGAACCAGAGTTTCCTGAGAAAAAAGTGTTCGAGTCTGCATTAGTTTGCGTTCGACTGCCTCGCGGCGTGGAAACTCCGGAGAACGATGCGGACTGCCGCAACGTTCGAGCAGGAGGAGCCAATGGAGAATCTCCAGTAGTACTGCCCGCATTGATATCCAAGCGAGGGATGTTGCTCAAAGATCGGCGATGCTGATTTCCTTTGCCGTGGGAACTACTACAGGGCTGATGCCCCCGTCCCTGTGTTGGCGTGCTCTTCTTCCCGCGGCATGAAGTCGGCAGCTTCGAGGACTTGGTTGCTGTGGCTCCCAGACTGGCACCATCTATGCGCCCAAACTCCGAAGCCGGGGATTCCTCACACCTTCTATAACCCTTCGAAATCCTATCACTATGCGGAGGAGAAAGTTCGAAATCGGCTATCACAGGGGACGAGACAGCGAAGTCCTCTTGCGAGGATTCAACTCCAGGGATCAGAAATTCCCCTGGCGACAATGGATGACAGGGCTGGGGGTCTCCACGGGTAGTTACTACGAACGGACTGCGAGATGGCGAGAGAGCTGGCCGAGATGGAGAGAGCGCTCGTAGCAATGGCGAAGAAGCTGGTCGAGATGGTGAGGAAGCTGGTGGGGATGGCGAAGAGTAGGCCTGTGCTGGTCCAGCTCCATCGCTTACATCGAAAGAAAGCTTCTTCGGTGATGTTGAAACCACCTTCGAAAATAATCGTAAGGGATTCATTCCTGCAGATGTCCAACCTGTGACTTGACGACAAACCTTGAGAAATTATCCAAGTTTCCAGGGTGCTTCTGCTTTGCCTCGACTGAATCGATCCTGGCTGTTTACCTGTATAAACTTGACTACATTCCAATGCATCACTTCAAGCTCTCAGTCGAGCTATTTCCCTCTCAGCAGAACTTCTTTCTTTGCGGCTGTCACAATCCTGGGTGTTCACATCAGTGTTTTCTCTGGAGGATGATTTCCTGCCCTGCAACTCATCCATCACGTCGAAACGCACCACTGGTTCTGTACACCAGTACGCTAGTATGTCCTACAACTAGTGCGGTCGGTCCGTCGATCCAAAACCAATGCGTTAGTGATCGAACACACGAGGTAGTCTCTTCACCTCTACGTTCAACTGTCCTACAATCAAACTCCCTGTACTGCAGACTCCACATGTCACTCACACCTTCTCAATCTACTTCGCAACAATCGATAATCCTGTCCTACGTTGTCGAAGAACACCGATATTCAGATCTGCACACGAGATGAGCGATGGTGGGCCTATCCATTCAACTGTGGACGATCTCTTCTGCGCTCATTATCTCCCCCCACTACAATCCTATACTCTAGATTAATCACGAATAGATTCAGCGGGCTGGATCCGAACTCACATTCTAATTCATCGTGGTCACTTACGAGAGCTTGTCCTCTAGTGGACTACCCACACCTCCAGTGAAAATACATTATTCGTCTTCTTCCATGCAAACGGACTAACATTCAACCAAACTAGTTCAAGGAAACGGATACATCCTCCAAAACCTCAAATTCTCAACTTTACCATTAATCTTTGAACCATTCAAATTGTATCACATTGATATCTTTGTCCACTTTTTGTTCGCTTGCAATTCAATCATACCCCCCAGCCCAACTTATTCATGCCTTTTCTTCGTGGTAAAAAATGCACAGCATCCCTGACAACTTGCTTGTCTCTGTCACATAAATGAACACCGTAGCAGACGGTGAATTACCGATGACCACGCCGCCACGCTAACGATGCGCTCATCCAGCTGTTACCGGAACCGTTGACTCCACCCTCACAAAAATCATTCATGAACACCACCCAGCAATCCCATTCCCCCTCATCCAAGTCCCGCACAACCGCACCACTCCGGATGCGGCAAACTTGCACAGCTCCTCGGATCCGGCAACGTATTGCACATACATAGAGATGCCGGGTGTCAGGTCCCCGAGCTCGTTGATACTGTTTTCCCACACGCGGGGTCTCGATCGCCAATACAGAATCCTCGGTAAATGTGACGGAGACGATGAATAAGGGATTGCTTCGCTCCTTCTTCTCCTTGGTCTTCTGCTTCCGCTGAGCGCATGAAAATGCCGTGATGAAGCTATAGTGCTACAGTCCTCCCTCCCTCTTCCCGCGCACCGGGTGTGCTATTTGTAGCCGAGTATCGGTTCAAATTGTGGGCTATGGTCGCCTGATTGCTGTTTGGCTCCTCATCTTCTTTCGTCCCTGCATCTCATCGATTTGAACCCTCAACGGATACGCAGCAGCGCCCGGTTTTTCCTGGTTAGAGATGCGGTGCGGTGACGCTTCTCGGAAGTTCAGCCGCCGCGAATTCGGCCAGCGAGCTGGTTCCGGCGTCGACCTGTTCACACACGCGCACACTTACTGGATATATTATATAACAATTTTTTCCACATTAATAGTTCCATTTGTGTCCCCAACGACCCTGGATGCTTTTTTGCTGATGGTGTTATTGCGAAGGGGGTGGAACCTACTTTTTCCTGTTACTTTTTATTGACTAATTGGATTTTGTGAGTGGTTTTTATTGATTGTATTTCATGATGGTTTGAAGATAAGTTTCATGTGGGTTTTCATTCTGATGAGGAAAAGGAATGTCTAGAAATAATTGTGTGCTTTTTCCTCAATCGAGCATTTCGTAGTGTTTTATTTTTCCATCATATCATACTTTTTCTCCTTTTTTCTTGTTCTTTTTTTTTTTTTTCCTTTCATATGTGTATGTGTATATATGCATGCACTAGATCACATGAATGTGTAGGAAATTGTGGATTTTGCAAAAATAAATAAAGAATGAATGTTGTATTGTTATGAGGCTGATTGCTTCTTTTTCTGTTACTTTATATTTTAATTAATCAAAACTTATTACTTTGGAATTATCAAAGTTACACAAACAAAGGTGGAATAAATGTAATTGGTTTCATTCAAACTTGCGTATCGTTTTCATAAGTTGAATTCAATATACTCAATCCAATTTTTCATTTTTATTGTGTAGTTGAGGTTAATTGGTTAATTGGTTAATATCTTTTTAGAGGCAATGTGTTGTAAAATAGCTTTATGATGAATAACATACCATGTTTCTGGTTAATTTTGAGGGCTTAATGATAAATTGTGTATCACTACTATAGGATACGTTATTTGCAATACTAAAATTTTGATGCTTTTAAAACGGATTACTCTTCAGAGAGAAAAAAGAAGAAGAAAAGAAAAAGCCATAAAACTACAGTAAGCACCAGGTTAAACACAAAATAAAATAACACAAAGAAATGATTTCATGTAATTTAAAATTATAAAATACAGTATAATTATAATGAAATATATATTGACAAGCTTAGAAATATAAATATGCATACTTTTTAAGGATTAAAACAATGACTGCATTATGACTGAAATACGCATCAAGTCTGGAAGGGTTTAGTTTATGGAGCATATTAACTTTTCAACATTTAAATGGTGTATGTATACACATAAGCATTTTTTAAAATTATGATTATTATTTTTATTGTTGGCTAATTTAACACTAATTAATGTTGGCTAATTTAATGAGAGTAAATTTAACACTAATATGTGTAATATAACGCAGAATAAATGCAAGTTAGAATGCAAGTAGTTTTGTATTTTATGGGAATATTTTTGTTCGTTTGGTTGTATATTCAATGTTCTTGAAATATTTATTTGTACCTGAAAGAAAAATTAGTATATTGGAACAACTACTTTATGTCTGTTGGTAAATGCTGATGGCGTCAAGATGTGTTTTTACATTTAATGATAATTTATCATAATTTTTGCTACCATACATTCAAAAGTCAGTTTTTATTAGAATTGATAATGTTAGAATTTCAAAAGAGCCTCTTTTGACAATAGAATCAGATATAATACGAAATTATTTTTTTCATTGTGGTGTCTTGTTGGAAGTATTAAACATATAAGATTTAAATTTAAAATTGAAATGAACTAAAATTGAAGTTTATGAACTATTAAATAAAGTTATGAAACAAGATACAAGTATTCATACTATCGGTAAAGAACAGATTTATAAAAAATACACACGTGAATAAATCCTTTGAACTCTAGGAATATATATATATATATATATATATATTCAATTATTCAGAGACCCACTTGTTCATACAAAACAGTAACCCATTTAAAATAAATTTTAGCTGATTGCATACTACAATTGATACAAAATAATGATATACATATTTTAGATGCAAATTATGCAACAAATTTTACAATCTAAAACCACAATTGTATAATTTTTAAAAAGAAACTTTATTCCTTGTTTTAAAATTTGAAATTATAAAAAGAATTTATGATCAATTTCTTACACATTTTATGAACCTTCGTCGAGATGAAAATTATATCTGTGTAATGGTATAGATTAAAATGGAAATATTTTATTTTATTTTATTTTACGTTTGTATACATTTGTAGTTAAATTTAGGCAAATAGCCAGCTCCTGTGAGTGTATGAAATTTTGTTCTTGGTTTCTAATTTCAGATCAATGACTCACTTCAGATTTTTATAAATTTATGGGAAATACCAAATTTATGGGAAATACCAAATAACTTTCAATTGCAATATAGTATCATATTTCTATATTTTCTTTCAATTGACTTGGAAGAGGTTTAATTTGTATTTTGATAATATGACAAAAGTTCAACAATTAAGATGGCTTCAATTCATAGATTTTAAAACTTTAAAATGAATTGATTAGTTGTACTTATCTTTACAGTTCTCATGTCTCATGAAAAAAAAAGTTTTTTTTTTTTTTTTTTTTTTTTAATTTTTTTTTTATAAAATAATTTATGATTTTTTCAATGAAATGATTAATGAACTTCACATTTAAATATTATAGGTATTATTATATTAATTAATGGATTTTAAAGAACATATTATGTAATATTTTTGTATTTGTTATAACTTTTAATTAAAATTTAAAAAATAAAATAAATGTATATTTTGTGTATAAGTAAACATCAATTATTATGTTTATTATGTTTATTATGTTTATTTCTTTTTACTTTTTAATGAATAATGGTATGAGGATTCTATGCTTTGTTTTAGGATTGACAAATAAAACTAGGTCATTTAGGTGTAATAAAAGTATCAAATATAATTTTAGCATATAAATATTTTATAATAAAACTTTAATTTTTTGAATATCTATTATTAAACTAAAAAATAAATTTATATTTATAGTATACTTTTAAAATAAAATAATTGATAATAAAAACTATAAGTTTCAACAAAAAGAATCTTAAAAAAAAATATATGGTTTGTTTTTTTAGATTTTTTGATTATCATAAAAAAATTCAGTTTTGTGAAAAATTGTCTTTGAAAGTGATTGTATGCAACTTAAAAGCTTTTTATAACGAGGCACATTCCATTGCATAAATACTATGCCATATTTTGTAACATTTTATTTTTTCAAAGTTTTGATATTTATTTTTAAAAAAAATAGGTAGAAATCCTCCAACAATTTTTTTATTAAAAAAACATTTGAATAGATAGAGTAATTGTATCTATCACTAATAGAAATCAAGTCTAAAGAAAGAAATTTTACTTTGTGTATCAATTTGTTTTTGTATGAATTAAAGGATTAATTCATTGACAACCTTAAAATGTATTGTTGATAGTTTGCATATTCAGCAATATTGCTATAGAACCTTTCAGCTAATTGATATATTGATCCATACACAAAAAAATTATTTAGAATATAAATTTTACTTTTACCTTTATTAATACAAATCTATCTATCTATATATATATATATATATATATCTATATTTATATTGTTATTGTAGATCAAATATTGTGTAGAGTTTCTATTACCATCTTTTCAATATTACTACCTTAACATAATCTTGCATTCATTCCAAAGTATATTTTATATATAGATAGGCAATAGTAAGAAAACTCCAAGTTTACAATGAAAATCCGATTTCATATTTTATTATAAAAAATTGATAATATTTAGAAGAATGACCAATCTCACACAAACAACTTTCTACCAAATGACTTTTCAATGTAGGTGGTATCATATAATAACCTAACTAATGATTTGTGGAATATTTCATTTGTTATAGGTGTGTCATTCTAAATGAATATCTTAATAGTATAAAGTAGTCTTTCTAATGCCGATGCTTTTATTATTATTTTTATTATTAATTTTATTGTTAAAATTTTAAAAATTCTTTAAAACAAGATTAGTATTTTTTTTGTTTTTTTTTGTTTTTTGTTTTTTTGTTTTTTTTTTGTTTGTTTTTTTTGTTTTTTGTTTTTTGTTTTTTTTATTTTATTTTATTTGTATTTTTAACCTAAAAGTTATAAATCTTCAATGCCAAAAGGAGCAATTGATATAGCAACTTGTCTCAAGGACATGAACTAGAAGAAGATGCATTAACTTGAAAAATCTGTATAAAATAAAAAGTGAAAAAATAAAAATAAAATAGTACGTATATTAAAAAAAACTGGAATGGCTATTGCCAAATGACAAGAAAACTAAAGACTCTTAAATTTAGACTAAAAACAAGAAAAGAGTTGATAAGAGTGAAGAGAGCTTTACTCTTGCCTTTATATATATTATCTAAATAGGAGCTACATGGCGATGTTCTATAGGACCTCTAATATATGTTGACTTTCCAAGACACATGCCTTAGCTTACAAGACAATTTTTCTACGTGTGGGCCATATAATTATCTTGTTCTTTAAGCTACCAACATGAAGGCATATGGCCAACTTGTTAACCATGTTTATAACCTAAAAAATCAATTAAAGATACCTACAAAGTCAAAGCAATGTCTATGATACTTTTAGAAAGTTTTTATATAAGATATTATGGAATCAACCTACTTTTACCTAATATTATCTAAATCATATAAATAATTATTGGTTTACATGTGCATGTCGATGATATTACCTCTCCTTCTAGAAACAAGTTCCATGAGGAGCACTCTTTATATATTGAGGAAATTCAAGATGCGGCAAATTGTATTTGCTACATACTCCGATCTTTGTTTTCTTTGAAGATAGTTGATAGGCCCTTTGAGCCATTGATAATGTTCTATAGCAAGATGAGAAGACCTTGTTATTTGGTTGTTGTTGAGGCCTTTGTAACTTCTTTCAAATAAAAAATTTGGAGCACCGTCAGGTGTCGTTCCTACCTCTAATAAAATTACTAAATAATGAGTAGTCTTGATATTATGATGAAGCAACCATACCTTGTCACCTACATTGAATTGTGATTGTTCCTATTGATAGGCATTTACGTTGTCTTTTTTTCATTCTTGAGCTTCCTTTAATTGCACCTTTATTGTTGCATGTAGCTCTGACAAACAATTTGTGAAACCTTCTCCGAGAAGATTATCAACTTTTAAAAAGTCAAAAATATAAAGTCAAAGATGGTAACCATAATTGGCAAAGAAAGATGTTTGTTGCATACAAGAATGCACCGTATTATTATAAGCAAACTCTGCTAATGGCAAGACGATTCTTCAATCTTCTTGTTGATAATTGATGATACACCTTAAGTATTGCTCCAAAACTTGGTGTACGTGCTCTATTTGTCTATCAATTTGAGGATGAAAGGTCAAAGAAAGCTTTATGTCCACCCTTAAAATCTTAAAGAATTCTCCAAAATCTTAATACAAATTGAGTCTTCTTATCGGATATAATAACTTTTGGCAATCCATAATATTGATAGATAATGTTAAGAAAAAGCTTGGCAGTTTTTTTACTTGTGATAGATTTTATGCATAGTACAAAATGTGCCATTTTGGTAAAATAAACTACTATCACAAATATAGAATCACACAATGCTAAGACTCGAAGATTGGTAATAAAATCCATAGAAATAGAAGACTATGGTTGTTTTGGAATAGGTAATGGTTGAAGAAGTCCATAAGATCAATGCCAAAGAGTTTTTGACCTTGAACAAATGTTACATGATTGAACAAAGTCTTTTATAGCCTTCTACATTTGTGGCCACCAAAAATCTCTAGATATTATCTTGAGAGTCTTATTGTATCTAAAATGTCATGCTGTTGGAAAGTCATGACATGCTGGAAGAACATGTAAACATGCTTCTCTTCTTGGTACAAATAGACATCCTTCAAAATAAAGTAGGTTGTTCTTGAACTCAAACTTAGAAGTATTCTTGATATCATGAACAAGAGGATTAGAAGACATACTTGATTAAATTTGTTTGAAAAAAGTTGAATCAACAATCAATGTTGATTTCACTACTCAAAGATGAAATTATTGTGGCTTCAATAAAATTATCTTTTGTTGATCAAAAGCTGCATCTCCTTCTTTAGGTACAAGATAAGAATGTCTAGAAAGGGCATTGGACAAATCTTTTTGTTATTCTGGCCAATAAGACATATTGAAGTCAAATCTTGATAAAGACATGCTCCAACAAGCTTGGCGACAATTCAAAACACAAATTGATATAAAATACTCGAGGTCTTTATGATCCGTATTCACGGTGACTGGACTAGAAGCGCCTTCTAGATAATGACGCCATTCTTAGAAGCTTCTATAGAAGATATTATGGAATCAACCTACTTTTTCTTACTATTATCTAAATCATATAGGTAATTATTGGTTTACATGTGTGTCCATGACAACTTGTACCATTTTCTCAAATTAAAATAATAAAAAGTTGTTGAATAATGTTTCTTGTTTATCTTTGAGTTTATTTATAGTATCAATAATTATATTATTGTAGTATATTATTTTTTATTAAATAAATAATTTTTTTAATGAACTTTTTTGTGAAATTATTCAAACTTTTTTATTATATAAAAGATAGGATTGAATATCTCAGAAGACTTTGATAATCACAAACCTTAATTGAATGCAACAACATGTTCATGTAGTTGTAAGATTTCAAACAAAATATTTATTCCGAAAAATTTTAACATATAGAAAAATTCCAAGAAAAAAATAAAAAAATAAAAATACTCATATTACAATTATCCATTTTATTATAAATAAATAAAAAAATCCCTCATTCAATTTCTGAAAAGTTGGTGAAGTAGTCAAATTTTTGAGATGCAGCAAAGTATATATGTATATATATAAATAAATAAATAAATAAATAAATGATTAAAAACATTTAAGAACTAGTTTAGATTTCCACTCACGGAGTTGGGTCACCGTGAGATTGAGAAGAGAGCCAATAACTGCCGCACGCTGCCGCGAACTGCCGCATAGTGACGTGGCCCTAAAACGCCAGTTCACCAGTTGAAAGGAGCTGAAGCCAAATGACGACGCAGACTCCCCCCCCAGGCAAACTGCCGCACATATTTACAATCGTCCTCTTTTCTACACCATAAGATTTGTGTCTGTATTAGAGCGGAAGCATTGAATGCTGCAGCATCGAGGGATTGCCATTATCCCCCAAACAAACCCAGATTTCTGATTCTGGAGTGGAGATGTGATCCGTGCGGTTTCTGGCCATCGGCCGATGCCATTTCTGATGTCAGATGTTCACCTGACAGTGATTGCAATACTTCGGTAGAAACTGGGCACTCGCCTGCAAAACTTTGTTTACAAGTAGTGGCTGTGAAGTCGTATTCTTGTTCATTTTCTCAATTTATGACGAGCTTCCAACTTTAGAAGTCTAGGTTTTACATGAACATGTGACCGGAAAGTGACGAAGGAACGAAGTGGAAGGGTTGTGTGTGTGTGTTTGTCCATGAGCTCGTCACTGTTGGTTTCATACCCCACATATGAATGGTTTGGTAATGTAATTCGGTTTCTCGAGGTTGTTGAGGAGGATCAAACCTTTGTGCGGCGGTGTTTGAGATGAAGATACTTGGGTTTTCATTGACATGTGTCCTGCTGGTGTCCTTGGAGTGGTTTGCACATGGGGTGGTGGGGGAAAGATCACTCCGAAGTCTGAAGTTCCAAGCGTCGAATCTCTTTCCGGAGAGTTTTGATTGGGACCGAGTTCGCGACCGGTTTCTGATTGGGTCGGCTGCGAAGGGCACGATTTCGGAGCTCGCCAGCGATGGCTCCTTCAAGGAGTTTGTGCGGGACGAGGAGTTTGCTGGGAAGGTAGCCTTTGGAGGATTGATAGTGGATAGTAGACGCAATCGAGTTATCGTCACTGTGCAAGATATTGTCGATTGGAATTTTAGTGGGGTTGCAGCCTACGATTTGGACTCCGGGAAGAGGCTGTACTTCGCCCGCTTGGGCGGCCTCGGTGTGGCCGAAGGTTCCAATTCCCTCCATCTCTTCTTTACCTTTTTTCTCCTTAATTAGAGAAATGCACGCGTCAGTGACTACGTCTGAATTGCCTCCATTCTCGATCGTTTAGAGGATGGAATCCTGACATGGAATTTGCTCGAATTATATCACGACCTAATTAATTCATCACATTCGTATTCTTCACGGGATTCCCTGAGGAACTTTCAACAAGCTTCTGAGAGCGAGGAAGTTTGAGAACGGTAATGGATATTTTGTATGTTGTAAGGATGTCAAAAACTATCACTCCCCTTCCTGTTTTCCCTTAAACCCTCCACCCATAAAACTCTAGAGCGATGTTTGCTGTACGCTGGATGATGTTGTTATAAGAATTATTTATAATTTGAGCTCCAATGTGGTCACGGACGTGAAATGTAGGGGAGAAAGCATGTGCCAACGACGTTGCAGTCGACTTCAAGCCCGGGAATGTCTACGTAACCAACTGCCGGCAGAATTTTATCTGGAAAGTGACGAAGGAAGGAACGCCATCCGTGTTCGTAAAGCACGAAACTTTTACCTCTCAACCGTCTATCTCATCGGATGTGACTTGGTGTGGATTCAATGGCATAGTTTACGAGCCGGGCAAACACCTCCTTGCCGTGCAAACGAACTCTGGGGCATTGTTCCGAATAGGTGTAGAGGATCAGAGTGTTCACTTGGTAAGCATGAAAGACAAGCTACCGGGGGCTGACGGTATGGTGCTTCGAGAAGACGGCACTCTTGTTGTAGTCTCTAGGGAGAAAGTCTGGCTTGTGGGCAGCGCCAGCAACTGGATGGCGGCGAATGTAGTTGATGTTGTGCCACTCAATGCCACGGATTTCGCCACAGCTGCCGCCATCAAAAAGGGTGCAACATTCGTGTTGCATGCCCATCTCGGGGACTTGTATGCAAAGCAAACGCGAGACGAATTCGAGGTGCAGGAGATTGAGTTCCCAGCTGAGATTGGCGACAATGACCCCGTGTGGTTGATTCTTCTCATTCTGGCCTTTGTTGTGGTCGTGTCGCTATGGAGATTTCAGGTTTCCTACTTCTACGACAATTACCGGCGCAAGAGAGCGTGATCGACCTGCTTCCGATTGTGTCCGACACTCATCTCGTTCGACTGAAACTGAATTGTGTGTCTTTTTTCTTTTCCTCTGGTCAGTTTGCTTGCAACTGTTGTATAGTAGTTTAATAGTGCAAGTTTGTCAGATTAGTGTTTTTTTTGTAGACACACATATTTATAAATAAATATTTGCGATTTACAATTTAAATCTTACAACCATGAAGTCATCTTTGAATGAAATGCTGCAAATTTAGAGTAAAGAAAGGGTTCAGAATCCAGAGGAAGATTAGATATACTCCTTGCCAGCTTTAAATGCATCAACTACTTCTGTTGTTTGTTTCAAGTGAAATGTTCTAAATTTTTTTGTCTTTAATGGATTTTTGGTTGCATCATTCTTTGCACACACATGTTACAAAGAATTAACTGAGAGTTGTTTGGTTTTGTTTTTTTCTTACTTATTTTAGATTCTCATTAGTAATATAATATATTGTGTTGATTTGGGATGTTAATTTGTAATTATTGAAGTTTGTGATTTCTATTTTGTAACTTTAAATTAAACTTTTTTTTAACATGTTTCTTGTAATGAAACATAGCAAGTATCCAAATATTGCTTAATTTTATTAGGAGGTTTTACATTATTTTATTGTGCATGATTTGACAAAAAAATATTGCATGATTATGTTTTTTGTAGGCACATTTGTAAAGGTGTTATATAATACTGTAGAACACGTCTCAACATTCATGTGGTAGTCAAATACTCAACAAAGAATACAATTATAAAATCCATTTGTTGGATGTTTAGAATTTTTCTTTTCACTTCTATATTTCTATCACTCATCCTCCTACAATAACATAGATAATACTTATTCTTTTAATAACTCCTCTAGTTTTTCAGCAATAATAAGTGACATGTAAATGCAACAAGAAGATCAAACTTGCCATATTTATTTTGGAAGTACTTAATCAATCTTAAGTAAAAATTAGCACAAATAGTATGTTGGTTTTTTTAGAGTCAACACATGCATAGTTTATAAACTTTTGCATATTAATTAAAACTATTTTGTTAGAATTCTCTACTACAATGGTAAATATAGCCATGTTTATATTCATAGAAATACAAGTAATATAATATATAATTTGTGCATTCACTCACTTTTTTAAATTTTTTTATTGGAGCTCTCTATCTTATTCTTGCTCTTTCTAATTGTTTTTGTCATTGGCTTCTATGATTCTAAGTGCTTTATAAAATACAATTAGTTTCAAATTATATCTTTTTTGATGTAGAAATATTATAGAATACATTAGAAGATCATATATACCATGTGTTTTGGTGATTCTAATAAAAAATTCATCAATTGCATAGAAAATAATATTTTTTTTCCTCATTTGTAATTTTCTTATGAATAATAATTGTAGCAACTTTATATCTAGTTAGGAGCATGTTTCCTTTCAAGGTCTTTTGTGTGATTTTTCTTAAGATGGATTGTAAAAGAATTGTTCTTGCAACCTTATGAATTTATAGAGTATTATACAAAGAAATTTATACAATAATTTTTTCATAGATATTAAATTTATACAAAAATAAATAAATAAAAAATTAAAGGTGGTGTTATAAAAATAAAATTAAAGGTGGTGTTATAAAAATTTATATATTTAAATTTTATTTTTAATTAATAATATATTTTCTATATAATAGTTATTAATTTTTTATATATAGAAAATATAAACATCTTCATTCATATTTGTTAGAACTTTGTCTTTCTAAGACACAACAACAAAAGAATAAATTGTACAAATAGATACAATTGAGATGAAATATATCATTACCAAAATCATTATTGAGTATTTTCTAAATGCATAATTATGGTGGTACAAGGAAAAATTATACTTTGTTTATGACAAAACCAATTTAACTTCGAATAAAAATTTCTTGAAATTTTATTCATTGAAATTACTGATTACTTTTGGAAAATTATATATATGTAAATATATGTTTTTAGTTTAATTGTTTTTAGATTAAAATAATAATAAAGTTTTAGTATTGAATATATATATATATATATATATATATATATATATATATATATATATATATATATATATATTACATTTAGCAATAAATTAAGATTACAATTTATTTTTTTTACAATTAATATATATATATATATATATATATATATATTTCTCTTGCTATTTTTGTATAATAAAAAATGCCATTCTATTTTTGCAGTAGAAAAGAAACCATGAGAAAGTGATTATAATAAATAGTATATTTTTATAATTATAAAAATAAAATATATTATTATAATTATATGTATATATGCATATATTTATCTTTTTCTCAATAAACGATTTTTAAATTTATTAATTTCTTTCAATTCAAAGTATTAAACAATACAACAAATATATGATTGTTTTTCTTATATTTTAATATGCTATGCTGACTACAACAAAATTGGCTTAGAAAAAGGATTAAAATTTTACAAAAAAAAATATTTTAACAAAAAAAATATCTAACATATCTTTAGAAAAATACTAGAGATTTTTACTAATTATACAAGAATAAAATTGAAGCAATACTTTTTAAAAATATATACATAAACTTGTTATGCTAAAGAAAAAAAGAAAAAGAAAACATTAGTGCAACTTATTAGAACACAAATTTAAAAATCAATAACAAAACAATTGTAACGCCTTCCTTCTATTTATAATAAACTCACGTAACTTTATATACATTTGTACTTTAATATCTTCATGCATCCACTATTGGTGGTTGTAGCAAATCAATAGAAGGATTATATTTTAAAATGTTACAAAGATTGATAATATTTTTTATAAGATTTTTTTTTGATTTCAAATTCTAATAGTCTCCATCTCATTTTTATTTTTTTTAAAATATGGGACAATCTTTGTTTTTAGATTTATAGCATGTATTTTATAATGTTGTCAATTTTACCCTCATTTGCATTTTGTTGCCTTTACAACCACTATTGGTGCTTGCAACAAATCAATGCCATGAGTGGATATAAATATGTCTTTTATGATTATTTTAGTAAATTTTCTTTTTCATTTTTGTTCATAATTAATATCATTATTTAATCCTTTATTCAAATCTAAACATTGTCTTCTTTTGTCTTCTATTATTCTAATAAATCATTTTACTTTCTTCTTATTTTTTTAATCTGTGGTACATCAATGTTATATTGCTATGCATTATTAATATACGTTGAATTGTCTATTTTTAGAAAAAATAAAGATGTAAAGATTTGATTTTGTAAAAAGATCATCTCATGTTTTTTTTAAGATCCTACTAAAAACTCTTAAAAGCTTGGTAAAAAGTTACAACGGTTGTTTGAAATTAAGCTAGAAGAATTTTTAAGTTTTAACCTCAGCAACATATATATATATATATATATATATATATATTATTTGACTAAAACCATTAATTAAGTTAAAAGATGTGCAGCTGATATGGACTACAAATATTGAGACAAAGAGCTTGCTTTGATAAACACATGATATTATAATATAATTAAATTGAATTATCCCTTATATCAAATTTTCAACACAAAATATTTTCTAAAATAAACTTAATATAAGTTATTTTTAGTAAAAAACATAACTTAATGTTTATTTTCTATTTTGGGAATTGCTTTAAATGTAACTGTACTAAAAAATCTTGATTAAATGGTTCAAAAAGTTGCTTAAGATAAAAGCTACCAAAAATAAAATATAAACAATAAATTTTTTTTTGTTATTGAAATAAATAAAATTCATCTTGATTATATTTAATTAAAACTAGTATATACATATATATATATATATATATATAATCTTCTTAACAAGAATATATCAATAGAATTGTTAATAACAATAATAATAAAAGAAAAAAACAAAATAGAAGACGATGGTGGAGTTGATGTACCTTGACAATGAATGTGTTCAGCATGTTTTTTTGGAATGCAGTGTAGTGGGCAATCAAGATGTCCATGTCCAACAACAATTCTAAATAAGTTTTGATTATTGAAAATTAAAATTTGCATATAAATATATATATATATATATATATATATATACATATGTGTGTGTGTGTGTGTATTTATATATTTTAAAAAATTAATATAATTTAATAAAACTTTCAAACAACTCTAAAATTTTAGAATATTTCATAAAGATTTGTTTTAACTAATTGTTATTTTATTGATAATCATTTATAATTTTATCATAAAAAATAATCTATTCTATAGACAATGATTTTTTAATAATATTTAAGAAAAATACAAATAGTCTCTATAATTCTACTAATAGGTAGTGATTTTAATAAGGATAGATATAATATATCTATAACATATAAAAAATATAAAGAATATCTAATTTAAAGATCACTTTAAGTTTTATAAGTAATGATAAAACAATATTTTATATTATCATTCAATAATTCAAGAACGTATTTTTAATATGTTTTAGTTTGTAATTTTTTACAATAATGTATTTGAAACAATAATATTGGAAAATTACAACAAAATAACATGTAACATGACATTATTAAAGTTTTAGAAATTTTGTTAGATAAATATATTTTTAACGTGTATTAATGTATTTTTTTAAAACAACAAGTAGACCATCAATGTTTTGGCTAAGAAATATAATAATGAAATTTAGTTCTCTTTTATTGTAATTGTAATACATCATTTCTAAGATGGATATCATTTTGTGAAAAAGAAACGAAAATAAAAGAAAGAAATTAACATCCAAAATTTAATCAAATTTATATGATCATTACAGCTAAAATATTAAGTTATATTACAGACTTTTGAAAGCAATCAGTATTTTAAATTTTAAGTTTTTAAAATAATTATAATTCAATTAAAAATAGTTTTGAATCTTAAAATGTATATAAAAACATTAAAATTCATACTCGAAATTGTTAAGTTTTAAGATGACTTATAATTTGATTATGAGTACTATAAGAGAAAAAGAAAAGATTAACATCAAGATATCATTAACCTAAAAGTCCTATGTAATAGCTTTCAAAATATGGTCTAATTGATTTATGTAGTAAATGTAGTTTAAAAATATTAATTGTAGATAGAGCATTATATATATATTTTTATTATTAATATAATTAGAAATAAAATTAAATTTATATTAAAAAGATAATATCAATATTTTTTAATAATATATATATATATATATATATATGTATATATATTTATTTAGTCACTCTTTAGGTATCCATATATTATCTATTTAATATCAATAGTTAAAGTAAAAAAGATACCTATATTTATTTTAGTTATCAAAATATTAAAAGAATATTTCATAAATTATTAAATATGGATTAATTATTAAATGAATCTATTTCTTCTAATTATCATTGTAATTAAACATCTTCTAACTAGTACAATCAAACCTAAAATCTTTATAATAAAATATCCAATCAAGTTAAGTTAAAAACATGTTGAAATGTAACATTAGAGGCACCAATGTTGAGATAAAAGATAATACAATATAATGTTTTTAGAACTTGGTTATTATAAGATACTTTTATAATATTATTTCTAAAAATTGAAAAATATATATATTCATTATTTTAAAATATTTTTTAGTATCTTTATTTAAAAGTATTGATGTTTAAATAAAGACACTTTAAGATTTATAGGAAAGTTTGGTATTTAATTGTGGTTTAATAGTAATAAATAATATATAAAATATAATTTGTTAAAACTACTTTTGATCAATTTTATTTTTAGTTTTTAATTTTTAGATAATACAAATTTGATTATTCATGGCCAAGTGCCACATTTTACTTGTAACTACATTAAAAAATATTATAATTATTTTTGATGACCCTATCGTATTTTTTTTATTTTACTAAAATTTAGTGAATTATAAATTCATAAATCTTGCATTTTAGAAATAATCTTAAGAAATCATAAACATTATTTTGGCAACATAAACTTTTAAAAAACATAGTTTGTATTATTGTCTTTTGTCTCTAAAATATTATAAGCTCCTATCATCACTATAAATATTTTTAATGTTACAACTACTCTTTTGAAAAAATAATTACTATTCTAATTAAACAAAATAGATAAGTTTCAAACCACAATCACTAAAAGTAATAATAAAAATTTATTTTAACTGTTATTGAAGTAAAAAATTAAGAGTAATAAAATTACTTATTACAACTATCAATAAGCCTAAATAATAAATTAATTTTTTTTTAATGCCACATCACCAATTGCTATTGCTACACTCCACATGACCTCCACACAACTGAAATTAACTAAAAAGTTTGCTTCTATATTTAGATCACATTCATCAACCCAACATTTAATCCCAACACTGACCCAAAAAGAAAAGTAAAAATAAAAAAAAAATTGGCAACCAAATTAAAAATAAATTATATAAAATAATTGAATTAAACAAATTTTGAGGTCAAGTTTACTTACATCCACCAAATACCTCCCAGACATCACCAAAATCCTTGGCACTTTGTACTACACAACAAACATTCCAAATGTTTTCAGATCAAGCTGTGAACACATTTTGGGCACACGAAAAGAAGCAATCACAGTTGGAAGCAATTCGTTCATTATTCAATCAATCAAATCAAATCAAAAACAGCATTTCCCATGGACAAGCTCTCAGACCCACTTCAGATAACACGCCCAGACGAAGTCCACATACAAACATGAAGCTCTACCAAGACAAGAGGGCTGTGGGGATCAGCTTTGGAAGCATAGCATTTATACATACAAAACCAGTTACAAGTGTTGAGAAATGGGTACAAAAAAGAAAAGAAAAAAACGCAACTCCAGGTCTTGAGCATCAGACTTGAACTGCAAGCCCATGTTGAGCAACAGCATCTAGCAAAGCTTTTCTCACGTGCTCCGCCTCCTTCACGTCCAAGCTTCTCATCTGCAGCAGGGCAAGCAAGATTCAGGGGTGAATACAGAAGCTGGAAGGCATGGCACCATGGGTCTAGTACAACCTGCACGTCCATGCACACAAGTTGCAAACAAAAGTGTGATGGCTACAGTGTGAGAAAAACGGAATGGAAGAGGCTGGTGGAGTTGATGTACCTCGACGATGAATGTGTCCAGCATGTTCTCTTGGAACGAGGTGTGGTGAGCAGTCAAGATGTCCACGTCTAACGACTCCAAGGCTCGGGTTAGCTGCACGAGAATTCCTGGCCCTTTCTGGCAGGTGGCCCTGAGTTGATACGTTTTGTCTTCCATTTTGGCTACCTCCATCTACAGATCAGAACCAGCTCATGTTTAGGAGGAGGAAAGATTATGGACCATTAGGATTGATATGTCGTGAACTGAACAAGAAGTTGACAGATGCACGGGGTTCGAAGAGAGGTTTCTCTTACATTTATAATCTTTCTCTGCACAACTGGAGAGTGTTCTTGACTAGGGCCTTGAGAATCGGCTGATGAACTCGTCTTCTCTGAAGCAGCTAGTACTGTATTGTCGTTCAGCTCAACGCCCAGCATGGCTTCCTCTGTACCTTTCTCACAGGAGCTGCTACTGCCCGCTGCAGGCTCTTTGGACTCCAAAGACGTGGAGTCGCGAGAGCCTCCGGAGCACTCCGCGGCCACGCCTGTACTAGAAAGCAGATTTTCTTCCATTTCAGCAATCTCCGACTCCATGCTTTGTATTTGCTGTTGGAGCTCCTTCACGTAGACAATAGAATCACCAACAATGGACGCTTTGTCCATCTGCGACCGCCATTTATCAAGTTCTCACCGATTCAGTGGATGACCCACTGGTAATAATACATATTTACATCTCTCATTCAATGGCAACTCTAACGTGAGATACATTTTAGATCTGGTCGACATGTCTAACCTATATCGCTTATACAACGCATGAGTCTGCATTATAGTTGTTTCTTATTCCTCCACTTAATATCAGGTCAACATACATGTCAGATGTGTAATTGAGGGGCACATTGAATGGTATCCTCACCACCATGGCAGCACCGACAAGAGGAACTAAATTTTGACAGTTTGAGTTTCGCATCACTGAAGAATTTCTGTAGAAAGGCAAGCACCGTACCTTACTTATTTTAGGAACCAGTGAACGAAGGGTATAGAGTCCATCGTTGAGCTTCTTCCTCCTCTTCCGCTCAGATACGAGATTCTTAGACGCCAGTCCAGATGTATTGTTATTGTGGCGCCTGCCTCTTCCCGGCGGGACCTCAAATTCTACAAACTCCTCGCTCGATATTGAGCCTGCCCGTCTAAGCTGTTGCTCCATATCACAAGATTGTGTCTGTTTTTCTGAAGGCGATACTAAGGCATAGGACGGTTCACTCTCACTTCGTAGAAGCTTTTGTTTCACGTCTGGAATATCCACCCATTCTGCTAGATTATTTGATTCAGAAGCCGGCTCAAGAGAGAACTTGTGAGCTTCTGCCAACTGTGCCAAGTATTGTGAACCATGCATGCTGGACCTTGCAGCACTCGCATCGTCATATTTCCGAGCCATAGAGTAAGGTCGTGAAAGCTTTCGGTCCGGAAGTTCTCCGCATTCTGGCAGCCAATCTTGGATCCCCAAATCCTGACTCTCTTTGATTGATGACGGCTTCTTGTCGTTCATGACAGGGTGATATTGGTCAGGGTATATAAGCTCCAGACTGTCTTTGGTATCGTTCCAGCCATACTTCCGCTTGACATCATCCATCTCAGCGTTTGATAGATGAAATCTCTCAGACGACCCTCTTTTAAGCTCTGCTCTCGGGTTCTCTTTCAATTTCCTCAAAAACTCAGAATCAGTTCTTGAATCGAACCGCTGCGCAGGTTGGAATAAGACTTCAGATTGCATAGTGATCTTGTCAGTAGATGGTGCGTATGACTTTGAACCAGCTTCGATCACCTGGCCAGAGCGATTATAGACATCAATGTTAGTGACTGGCATTGGAAAAGTATCCGTCCTTCCTGTTCGCGTGTCCATCGTGTCCGGATCCAAATGCTTCACATGCAGGCGCTTCCCTCGCTGCACAATAATTAGCTGGACAATTAGCTGAACAATTTGCCATAGTAGAGATGCAGAGGCAAATGACATCGATTGTGAAGCATGAGAACCGCTCCCCAACTGACGATCAGTAGATACATTAAATATCGTCCTAGGCAGGCACTACATGGTTACATATCTTTCGAAGGCCACGAATTGATTATAAGGGAACCTGCATTCATGCATGAACCACAGAAAATGGACTTTCCTCTAGCTTATTCGCGCCAAATTCGAACACGTCTATCACGTATGTAGGTTGGGACTCGTACAAGTACTTAAAGCCCCTTACATTTTCATAATCTTGTTTGGATCCATAGATAACCCTAAAGGACAGTCAAAAACTATAAACTGACAGAACCTAACGTTTTGTCGATCGGAAATAACATCTATGAACTCAAGCATGCTAATAGCTTGTGACTGCACTCACCCTGTGTTGATTTTGGAATACCCAGCGATACTCAACTCCTGATTTACTTTCAGTATACATCATAGGATAGGAAAGTGTCTAAAAATGTTTTCCACAAGTCATGGTGTTCATGGCCGTTTGGTAAAAATTGACACATATTAAGAGCAGTACTTAAGCAAAAGCTACTCTGTGGTTTATCAATATTAATTAGAAACAACAAAATCTTCAATGAAAACCCTCTATTATCCGCAGTCGGCACGAATAGTTCTAGCGATGAAATAGAACTCACTTGAAAATACTGTAAATGAGCCCATCAACCAATAAGCTTTGTCGCATTTTTCTCTTATATCAAAAGTCCCACTATCTAAAAGAATAGCTTGCAGCAAACCAACAGTAAACAAAACAATGTATGATGAATCGAAAACTGAACATTCGCCTCATACTAAATGCCAGGAAATTCGGAAAAGGATTCCTCTTACTAAACTTTCGGGGATACGCAACCACGACATCAAGCAATGAAAGAATTGATTTCACGAGTCAAAGTGATCGAAAGGCATTAAAAAATTTCAAAAATTCAAAAATTCAAAAAAAAAAAAAAAAAATGACTGATCAAGCCCCTCCGACTGGATCTGACAGTCACTGAGTTCGTCAACACCTGCTGTTCTCTAAGATGTTCTAGATAGTTAATCGCCAAAGCGTGTTGCAACTTGAAAGGGTTCCAGTTTGACTCTTGAACTGAGAGAAGTAGTGCATGTTGTAAATGCACCATACGGAGAAATATACTTAAAGCATATATGGTTCCCTACGTAACACCTCTACGATCTTGTCTTTATCACGCCGTTGTGGCTCGTAGCACTGTCCCAACCACTTTGTTATGTCGATAACTATGCGCGACTTGACCAAAGCAACTCCTGATTGGAAGCGTCCATACATCTTCTAGTTAACCTTGAGATGGAGAGGCCCTGCCTACTGAGAAAAATTGGGCTTTACTGCAAGATTCCTAATGGCTGTAATTCAAGTAACTTGTACGTATTTCAAGGTCCTGTAGTAGACAGGGTTCCATTTATAGAAGTATTGAAAGAGTGCAGGTTTCATGAAATTAGATACTTTGATCAGCAGGAAGATTACGGAACTCCCAACCTGATACAATGCGTATGATCCCGCCACTCCTACATCAGCACGTTAATCAAATCACGGAGGTGCGACCAATTCCAAAATTTTATCGATAGCCAGGTTCGGAAGACAATACGAAGCACCAGGCTGAGCTCAAGTGGAAGCAATTTCGAAAGAAACCCACCCTTGAAGCGAAATAATAACGTATGAGCCCAATCGACAATGAAACATGAGTATAGAAACATGCAACTTGTGCTCTGGAATAAACACCAGCATAGTATTCAGCTCTAAGTTGACAATGTTTGACAATCCCCTTGAAACCAGCAGGTATGCGTACAATGCTTACTAACTGCAACACCACAAATCACCGGGGCAGTACCAGCAAATTTAACAACTCAAAGCACATACAAACCATGCCACACCAAGCAGCTTCCAACTCGGACTGAGCTAGAACTATTAGCAGTAACACCTTGTTGAACGTTTCAACCCTAAACTGACTAAGCATTGTCATCTAGCAATAAGCAGAACATTAACCTCCAGGAGTGTTGGTTTTGTACTCGCAGCTCTAGTACGAAAAATATTATTGCTTCTTTGAAAGGGTGATGAAAAACAGAAAGACATTGGAAAGGTCACCACGTCTCGAGGTTTGCAAGTTCTCTTTCCAGGCAGCTGTTATGAGATCGCCTTGGGGAGAACATACTTTCATGCTCATCAAAGCTCGATGTTGCGTAAAAAGACGAACGATCGCGGATGTTAGAAGGTTAGAAGACGATCGGCCTGACTCGTAGTACTAGACTGTCCTAAAGATGCTTCAGTTGTGAGGCATGAAGCGTTTCCGCATTCTTCGGGAAACTAACACCACAAAGAGCACTTACTAAAGCTTAACTGTGCGTTTATTTGAGATTTCTAAGCATACGTACCTTCTAGTATGATTCTTAAGCCTGTACAATTCCAGCAGTCGCTTAGAAATTTCTACAGGCGAGGACGAAGGGGATAGAGATTTTACGAAAAAAGAAAAACCTACCTGATTAGAGGAGAAGGCTTGAAGGGGTCCAAGCGATGCAGCTACTCAAAGGTCTCCTCACAATGGATCGGATAAACACAAGATCTCGAAACGCTTCTCTAACGAAACAAAAGTGTAAAGGAAGTCCTGATGCCCTCCTTCACCAGAGAGTGACAAATTGCCATGGAAACTTGCAGAAGAAATCCAAGAATGCTGGATTGCCTCACAACAACTCCACTTGCGCGCATTCGGACAGCAAAAGCGCTGCCGAAGAGTCACCTGCGCCGACTCAGAATAGGAGGAAGTGAGACAAAAATGGAGTGCGTCTCATCAGCCTACCTCCATTAGAGCCACCGACCTTGACCACGGTCAGCAATTTACCCTAGCCGGCTGCAAGTCGGTATGCACAGTACAGTTTCAGAATCCAGAACCTAAAAAGTCCTCCTTCGGTCACCGATCCATCCCGAACCCTGAAAGATGCTTTCCCAGGGTTACACTCATAACGTCGGACGATGCAGATCATCCATGTTTAGGCCACTGTATCACCCCGGTCACCCCACCCCTCAAAATAACCACTCTTAATCACAAGTAAACCAACGATGGGTCGATCTGCCAAAGTATCGACGAATTCAAACGTGCAACCCGACGACGAGGAAAGGTCATGAGTTGGTTAGCTTGGAGTGCACCAGTCCAGACTTCGAGGATACAAACAGACGAAACGCTGCGGAGTGGCAGAAACCTCCAGGGCGATATCCTCTTCCTCCTCCTGTACGGCACGTGAAACTTTCTGCGTGAATTGTTACTGCGAACCCCTCAATGGTCGCCACTATGCCCCGGAGCTCACGACATTCGGAGCCCCGAATGCGGAGCATTGCCCGCTCCTAGGTAGCACAGCAAACTTCAATTGGTTGTCGAGCCCACTATTCCGCCACAATTCAATAGACCTAGAGTCGCTTTATGATTGCTGATCAAGTCCAGGTTGCAGAGAGTCCCTCCCACAGCGGTAGAATTTACCGCTGTCGCCTACCAGCACTTTACATTGGTGATGGTGGCCAAAGCCTGTGCACACAATTGGGAAGAGCCAGCAGCTCGCAAGCTGCTGCTCGTAGACTATCTTCGGGACCGCGCGATGGTGAGCTTTGTCGTCTTGCACCATGAACAGTACCCAGGGCCTTTCGCCGCTTGTCTATTTCTGTTGTTTCGCACACGACGCATTAAACCTGGAGCTCGATTCTGGCATCCTCCGAAAGGCGTGGTTCTTTGTCCTCTTCCAGATCGGATGTCTCTGTAAACTGCAACACGATTTCATCGGATTTCGCATGGCATTTCTCAGGCATGTTCACACAAACCAAAACTTAAACTATACAGACCCCCCTACTGCCTGATGTTGTCGATCACACAAGCCGTCATCGAAACTTGCGGCAAGTTTATCCGACTCTGAAACTCCACTGCCACAGCTATTGTTTTGTGCATCTAGTGGCCTACTATGCACAAAACAATAGCTATTGTTTTGTGCATCTAGTGGATTTTGCAAGATTGTGTCAAATCACTCAACAGTGTTGATTGCATATATTCCTACTGAAGAGAGACAAAGCCCAAGCTTGTCTGGAAGCTGGGGATTTACTGATGTGGCTCTCTGTAGGGTGGTGTCCTGCTTGTCCTGTAATGAATCTCAACCCTGTCTGTATCAGAAAACCAAGCCTCCTTTTTCTTACTTGGTCTTGATGCTCATTGTACCTCCAGTTGCATGTCTTTGAATCAAATTAATGTTGTAGGAAATTAGTGTGAGAATTAGGGTGAAGATTGGTGTGAAATGTTGACCTTTGCTTTGGGTTCATGTTTGGAGGTGGTGAAAAGGGAGAGAATGAGGTGGAGTACAATCATGTAGTTCGATGAATGAGGTTGGATGGAATGATGGGGAATCAATCTCTTTGGGTTTTGATGCTTCACAATGTTGGTTCTAATGCAGCACGTGTTTCTTTATTTCTATATATATGTGTGCATGTATATATATAGAAATGTGTGTGTGTGTGTATATATATATTCTTTTGACTTTCTTGATTCACCTCCCTCTATATCCTATACTATAATACTTTCTTTTTTAAATGCACCCATGCTTAACTTTCCTTTGTCCAGTATCTTGGAAGAAGCATCATGAGGTGTATTCTGTCTGTTTGTGATTCTGATCATCATTGACTATGATTCTAGTTTAGCACAAGGGAATTGTTTACGTTTACGTTATGACACTGGTAAAATAAATGATAAAAAGTCGTAATTGTTTTATCATCCACAAGTCATTTGAAAGCTTTCATAATTTGATAATATGGAGATTGGTTTTCTTAAAAATAATAATACCTCATATTTGAAAAATAAGCTCATGTGATAACTCGCTAAATTCAATTGGTGCATAATTTGATTATCGTCTTCATCTTCCTATTTTTATTACTTACAACATAATTATTACGTATACAAATTTTCTTCAGTGAAATAGTTAAGTCATGTTTCACCTTTAAATATAATAATTTTTAATTAAAATTTCTAGCATTGGAACATCGAAATCATAATTTATAATCAATATATAATACTTCACTCTGTTATAGAAGCATTTTAGAGCTTTAAAGTAAAAATACCAAAAGATGAAAACAGTTCTCAATCAATGTGAACTAAAATAGGTATAATATATTCTCATTGTATGTGTATATATAAATGTGTGTGTGTGTGTGTGTCTACTTTATTTTACATTTAATTGTATGAAAAAACGGTTTTGAACAATGCACATTAGCTTCAATAAACAGTACGATACCAATGTATATTTTTTTCATTCATATATATATACACACACACATGTTTTGTGTATGTCATTCCTCACAGTAATTTAATGCATTGTTTTAAATATAATATTAATTTATGGATTTATATCCTTCATATTTTACTAGTTTTATTTTTGAATGGGTAAATTATTGTGTACATATATTATCCAAACATAAACTCTATTTGATATTAAACTTTTAATTAGGATGCATTCACTTGATTAATTTTACATAAATCGGCAACAAACTTTAGTTTTGCAAAAGTTATGATTTTTTTATGATCTTTAGTTTTGCCAAAGTTGTGGTTCTTAACTTTATGGCGAGCTGATTAAGTGCTCATGCAAGGCAATGACTACAATTGATATGAGATCGGAATGTTTTTTTTTTAAGGGATACTTCTTAATTTAACTATTTCTTTTAATACTTCTCCTTAAATGGGCATGCATAGCATGACTACTTTTTTTAAAACCTTTGACTCCACTGTAAAAGAAGTCAATCACAGTTTATCACAATTTATTTTAAAATTTCATTTTTTTAATATACAGATTGAGAAAATTAATTTAAATCTATGTTGTCATATTATGCTGTGGTATAATTAATTACAGAGTTATGTAAGAAAAATTCGAAGTAATTTAGAAATTATGTGGTAACAGTAGACTGAATACTTTTAGCACTTAACCAGGTCAACACTATGATGAGGACTATTAAAAGTATTACCAAAAATATTTCAACGTTGCATGTAGAATTCCAATAAAGAATACAGAATAACAGTAAAAACATTACAATAGTTTTTGTAGTCTATCAAAAATCTTGGTTTTAGAAATATTAAAAATAATTAATAATTGCATGTTTATTTTAGCTTTAAATAGAGGAATAATATTTATAAAATTAAAATCTTGTCGGTAAAATATTTCACTGAATATTTTGTAGGTGGAGTGAAATATAATATTTCATCTCATAAATAAATACACCTTCATTCTTGTTTTATTTTTTGAAACATGAAATGGTGCACCTCTTCGGTAATTAAAACAAAGTTTAGTGTATGAAGGAGCTCTATTACTACGGCAATGTTTTATGAGCAACTTTTGAGGAAATTACAGTGCCATGTTAAACCCTTGTATGAAGTTCTAATTCCAAAAATAATCTCTTTGATCCAAGTTTTTTCTTTTTGATTTTAATTTTTTTTGTAATCTAGTATAGTTCTTATTGCAGAATTTTATGTTTAACATCTAGAGTTTTTCTTTTTCAACATGTTCTACCATAATCTAATATTCTGTACCATATTACTTTATGAACTGTTTGGTCTGTTCATATTGCTTGTCTAAAACTAAAAGAATAGTCGCATAAGTTTCAGGAAAATGGGGTAGAAACGCATCTAGACAAGGGTTCCGGCCAGGTTTATGATTCTTGCACCCCCGCCACAACCAAGTCCACACCGACTTGTAGAAAGAAAGTAAGTCGAGGATAATAACAACGATAGTAACAATAATAATAACATAAAAACAACGGCCGAGATTAGCAACAGAAGAGGAGGAAAGGGGGGGAAACTTATGAAACCAAGGACCAGAGAAGAAGAACATGAGAAATAGGCCTTTGGGGTTGGTGGCCCACTTGGCTTCGTGCTGCCTAGGCACAAGATCATTCCACTCACAGCAGAGCAAGTGTGCCTCTAGTCAACTCCTCATTTATTCTTTCTGCTGCTGCTGCAGTTTGTTATTACTATTGTCATTATTAGTACACCCACGAAAAGCAGCTTCTGCAAAGTTCCTAATATCTTACTTCCTGCAAGTTGGCGCTAGTTCTGGCCCCTCGGCCGAGTCCATTGTCAGCCCTCTACACCACTAGAGTTGCAGCTCCACATCGCCTCTAGTTTTGCACTGGTCTGTCCGTCCTTTTCCAAATCAGGCATCTCTCAAAGGAGGAGATGCTTGTGTTCGTTTTTTCTTTCTAGTTGGAATCCGTCCCTCCGTTCTCATTTTCTTTCTGGTTGTCCCTTTTGATCTTTTTTTGGGACGCAGATCTGTCTCCAACAGGCTGTGATGTTGTTGTTGTTGGGTGGTTATTTTTGTATTTTGTTACATGTTTTTCATGATGTGTTGATGCGTCCTTGCCCAGGGAGTTTCGTGGCTTTTATATACCCTTAGGTCAAGAGCATATACTCTTGAGCCGTCACTCTCTTGATTTGTTTTGTGCG